ACCTCATCACAACTTTTCTCTTTTGGCTTCCTTGACACTATACTCATCTCCTTATATCTCTTAGTTCACCTTGTCTAATTCTTCCTTGTATGGTGTCAGTGCCTTGGAAACTCTGAGACTCCTTCCTGATAACTGTACTAGAGAATGTCAATTCCTGGGAAACTATACCGTTCTGACTAGCAATTTCTAATCATCCCCTACCTTCAAGGTAAACTCCTGGGAATCTCTGCTGTGATAAATGCCTTACTTTACTTTTTTTTAATCACCTTGTTGATCTGATTTTTATATAGGCTTGACAATGGGTTGGACTAAATGTCCTCTGAGGTTCCTTACAATTATCAAATTTTGTGATTTCAACTCCTAACCCAGTATTGAGCTCCAGACTCACATTTCTTAATTCATCAGATACTTACTAACCATATGCTACGTGTAAAAAACATTGTTCTAGGCAAGGAGGATTTAAAAAAAGCTGTGATGCATACCCTACTCTTTGGGAATTTACAACTTAATAGAGGAAAGACATGGAAATGTAAAACTAAGATATAAAGGAAAGTGAAATAAGGATAAAAGAGAGGTCTGGACAAAGTTCTGTGAGATAATTGAGGGAGAACTCACTTTTACCTGTAGTGGGGAATGGGGTAAAGACATGGGAGGTGTTGACAATCTTGGTTAAGGCTTTGCCCTAATGAATCAGGCAAGCTCAGGGAAATGAGATAAAAAAGTAATTTATTATAGTACACAAGGCAATGCATTGCATATGGCTGTGCTAGGATTTCAAACGACCAACTGCTTTTATAAACAACTTGTCCTAATAAGAGCAAAATAATCCTGATAGGTGGTGGTGTTTTTGGTCATGTCTGACTCTACATGACTCATTTTGAGGTTTTCTTGGACATTGGAGTGGTTTACCATTTCCTTCTCCAGCTCATTTTACAGATGTGGAAATTGAGGCAAATAGGGGTTAAATTTCCTGGAAATGGTCACACAGGAGTGAGTGTCTGAGGCTGGATTTGAACCCAGGTCTTCCTGACTCCAGGCCTGGTGCACTCTTCATTTCTACACCTAGCTTCAAGACAATCCTGCTAGGTATAGGTTTCCAAAAAGGGATGGGCCATTGTGTCTCAGCTCCTCCCCCATTACAAAATCACAGGGAAATGAGATTAAAGATAAACGGAGTGGGATGAAATGCACCAGGGGAAGACTAGCAAAACTGGAAACTATGGGGTCGCTTGAACTGACTCAGCACAATTTCAGTGGAGGTATGAGTGAGATAGATAATTTCATGGAGGAGGTGGCCCCTGGGTTTGGTCTTGAAGAATTTTGAGCTTACTTTAGATAGACTTTATATTGGTCATTATTCTTTTCCAGCCTCCTCTTCTTATTCTCTATCTACCATGTTTTCCCAGGGTACTTTCCCTGCTCCGTCTTCCCCAATTTTCTGCTTTTTTTTAAAAATTGCCTTCTCAGTTAGAATGTAAGCTCCTTGAGGGCAAGGACTGTCTTTTGCTTGTATTTGTATTCCTAGCACTTAACACTGTGCCTGACTTAATAAGAGCTTAATAAATACTTCCTTGACCTCACTTGACTTTACAAAGTGCCTTACATTTACTTTTAGAGATAGACCTAGAAGTGGTAGGAATCTATACCAGCCATGGTGGCTAGCAGGAGCGAAGTAGTGGAGGAAGGAGATATAGGTTGAAAATAGTGGACAAAAAATAGTCTAGTTTAATTGGGACATAGAATATGTGTAAGATAAGTCTGGAAAGGTAGGCTAGAGTGAATTGTGAAGGGCCTTGAATGCCAGATCAGGAGCGTATGTTTTATTCTGTGGGCAATGGGAAAATAATGAAATTCTTTGTCAGAAAAAACTTCAATTCTCGGAAATGGGGAAATGATACTAACCAGCCTTATTTGGGAGAACAATGAACAAAAACCCAACCCATTATAGAGGACATTTTATAAATGATGAAAAATAGTAATTATTAATTGCAATTATGGAATAATTAAAAAACATAGCAAGCAGCTGTTGGCTTATTCCTCCTGTGAAGTGCCTGATGGAATCTTCTACAGAAGCACTGTTGTTCAGTCCAACTCTTTTCTTGGCAAGGAGTGGTTTTCCATTTCCTTCTTCAGTGGATTAAGGCAAAGGGAGGTTAAGTGACTTGCCCAGGGTCTCACAGCTAGGAAGTATCTGAGGCTGGATTTGAACTCAGGTCTTCCTGATCCAAGGCCCAGTGTTCTATCCACTGAGCAACCTAGCTGCCCCAGGGGCATTTTTGTTGTTCAGTTGTGTCCCACTCTTCCTCATCCCATTTGAGGTTTTCTTAGCGAAGATACTGATGTGGTTTTACAGATAAAGAACTAAGGCAAAAGGGGTTAAGTGACTTGCCTGGGGTCACACAGCTAGTAAGCATTTGAGGCCATATTTGAAATCAGGAAGAGGAGTCTTCCTTGACTTTATGTCTTGCACTCTATCCACTGTGCCATTTTAAACATTTTAGCACCCCCCCCCCTTTTTGTGAGACAATAGGAAGATTTGTGTTTGTTAGGGTTTGCATAAGAATAGATGGTGCAGATTAGTTTTCTATAAGTTGCTTTTCTGTAAACAGTAGAAATATGCACTAATCCAGACAGAATCTAATGTTCCTTTAAGCGACAATGATGGAAAACCTATTTGAAAAGAGTGTGCAGAGGAGTGGGGATTGGCCTGGGAATCAAAATTCTTGGGTCTTCCTCACATCATCCCATCCTGCCTGGAGCCCCGAGTATGTGAGATGCTTTCTCTACAAAATGGAGAAAACCATTTCTGTCTTCTGATAGATGTTAGGCCTTGGAATGGTAGTAACAGTCATTGTGAAACTCAGCCTGGGAAAGTTGCATCAGGTCTGGTTACCTTCCTCCTGAAGCCTGAATTTCAGATACACCTGGTGAGGCCACTTTCGATGCTTAGCATAGGCCCTTAGGCACAACCCCCAGTCCTCTGCCTACTCTGTAAATTGGGCTGCAGATGTTTCTGTTCTCCTGAACGCAGATGCTGGAGGTCCAGCTGGGCTTAAGTTGATTCCTATTGGGTGTTCAGTGACTAATGCTGAGTAGCCACAGTGGCCCTGTCTATTTTAGATTAAAAGTTGGGTCTGGAGTCACTTGTCTCTACAACCCAAATGACTTTTGCTTTGGCAAGGGTGGAAATACCCAACATCAGCTTTATCCAGTCATCTTGGATTTTTTATTAAGGGTAGGGTAGCTTCCAATGAGCTTTGTGCAAAACTGACAAACATCTTAGCATTTAGACATAGGCCTCACTGGGCACAGAGTATACACACACACACACACACACACACACGTAACTATGTATGTATCTACTATGTTTTATATGTGTGTGTGTCTGTATGTATATATATACATATATTATGTTATATATATGTATGTTATACAATAGATATAAGAAATTGGACATGATGTCTATTTTATATATTATATATTACATGTAACACAATCTATATGTACATATATATTCATACATATACGTACACACATACGTATGTGTGTATATGACACGGTCAGTACAGAAATTTGTTTTGCTTGACTGCATGTTTATTACAAAAGTTTTCTTTTTCTTTAGTTCTCAATGTGGGGGGAGAGGGAATGAAGTTGGTGGAAAAGAGAGAAAATCGATTTTTGCTGAATTGAAAAAATAAAATGTAATTTTAAAAGATGCTTAATGGTTAGGCTCACCACGATGTTTAGAGAAAGGAAAGTTTCCAGAACGTGACACATTGTGGGAAGCCAGGTTCCGGTGATGAAAGGATTGACTCTGGGTCATAAATAGCTGGGGTCAAGTAAGTTTAAACTCCACTCTACAAGATCTACAACCACATAACTGATATTTCTTTTAGTTTAAACCTTCTCAGGGTCTCCCTTGTGTATATCCCCATTGGTTTCAGTTGTAATAACTAGGGAGAAAGAAAAAGATCATACCCCATTTCTAAGCATTTGCCAAATCTTCTGAGAGAGATGTGACTCACTGAGGCAATGGGTTCATTTAGGTTGGAAAAGAGAAGGCTTGGGGGTGGGAGACATGGTAGTGATCTTAGATTATTTGAAGGGCTATCACATGAAAGAGGGATTAGCCTTGTTCTGTGTGATACCAGAAGGCAGATCAGAACAATGAATGGGAACTATCCAAAAAGTGGAATAAGCTGCCTCAGGAGGTAGCAGGTTCCCCAGCAGTAGAAGTATTCAAGACAAAGCTGGATGACCACTTCTCGGAAATTGCCCTGGGGGGAATTTTGGTCAGATACAGGTTGGACTAGATGGCCTCTGAGAACCCTTAAGCTCTTAGATTCTGCAAAGTATTTTTTTTTTTACAATCCCAAACTGATAACAAAATTAATGATTACCATAGTCCTTAACACCCCAATATAATAATAGCTAACATTTATATAGCACTTCAGAGTTCACAATGTGTTTTTACAGGTTATCTCACTGATCTTCACAACAAACTGTGAGGCAGATGCTATTATTATCCCCATTTTACAGATGAGAAAACCGAAGCTGAGAGAATTTAAGTGTCTTGCCCAGGGTCACAGGATAAGTGTCTGAGGCAGAGTTCAAACTCAGGTCTTTCTGACTCCAAGTCCAGTACTCTACCCACTGTACAACTTGGCTGCCCCCAATACAAAAGTCCCATAACTAGTTTGTCTCATTATCTTCCCAGATGTTCTGCTACTTGACATAAACATGTTATCCATTCTTTTGTCTACTTATGTAGTTCTATATCTAGTATTCTCTGTGCTCCTCTGCATCATTAGTCCGATTATGCTGTAAGTTCCTAAGGGGCAAGAACAATGGCTGTATTAATCACTCTTACCATGCTAAATACCAATAGGTACCACTAAAGGCTTTGGCACCATGATGGAGGAAAAGGAAAGAAAAGGGAGAGGATTCAGGCTAATGGTGGCTCCCCAGGTAATGTCAACTTTAAGCATATGTAAGCTTACCACTTTTTGATTCCCATCAGGTTCCATTAGCAGCCACTCGATATCCAAGGTATCTCTTTCTGGGAGCCCCAGCTGATGATGACAAGGCAAAGTGACCTTCTCCTCAGCCACTTTTTTGATTTCCATATGAGTCCCCCATGTTCCAACATAACAGGAAACTGAAATAGAGAATCTTGTCAGTGACGGAAAAATGGATGGTAACAAGATAAGGATGGGAGAGCAGGATCCTGGATTTTTCAAGTAGAGGGGTTGAATGACTACTTGGTGTAAGGAAGGATTCATGAATCACTTTGGGAGATGGGGACACTTAGAGACCTCTCAGATCCCTTCTAATTCTGGAATTCTATGATTGTTTTCTGGATCCTAGAAATGAAGTTGGGAGTTCTGGGTTCAAATTCTAACTGATAATAACTGGCTATGTTACAAGTTATTTAGCCTCTCTGAGTCTCAGTTTCCTCATCTATAAAATGGGAATAAAATACTTCCTTCCATTTTCCTTCTTTCCTTCCTTCTGTTTTCCTTTGTTCCTTCCTCCCTCCCTCCATTCTTTCTTTTGTTCCTTCCTCCCTCTCTCCCAATTTTTTTCCCTTCCTTCCTCACGTCACTGTCATGAGAAACAAAGGCAATAATAGATGTGAAAGCACCTAGAAACATATAAAGTACTATACACATATAAAACTTCATTATTATCCACCAGAGTGAACTGATTAGAATCCAGAAGTTGTTCTCAACCCTTGTCCCTGCCTGACAATTTGCTTCTTTCTGTGTATGAACCCTCCACTTCCAATCATTCTCACCATTTTTATTACCATGGCAACACGAGATGTTGGAGGGTCATTTAGCAGATGAACAGACTCTTCCCAGAGTTCCTCGGGTTCTAGTGTCAGGCTCCCGTACGCAAGCACACACTCTTGCTGCTACATGCAGTAGCCATAGCTACTGCTAGAAGAGAAATCCCCTCCTGTCCCTTATTAGTTCAAGGAAGATCTGGTATTGGCTACTTTCTAACAAAGAGACTGCCTTGAGGGAGAAAGGAAGCTGATTCTGCTTGTTCCTTATACCCCACAGAATGAGTAGTTTTTCCTAGCTCTGTTGGCTGTTGTCTTTGATACAGCCCCATACATGGGACAGAGGTCCAGCCAGAAGTCTTTGGTCAAGCAAATGCTTTAGCAAGGGACCCGGGTACATGAAACTCTGCAAGGGATCAGGACACTGCCCCATCCCCACGCATGTAGCATGACTCTTGCTACATGTGAATACCTCCTGAGTATACCCAGAGTGGCTTAAATATATGTTTTGATATTCTATTGACTTTATTCTCTGGTCTTGCCGACCTTATACCAGCTATGTAGATTGAATCATCCTGGCTGGGACAATGCACAAGGAAATCCTGGGGCAAATGGTCCTAATGTCATTCTTAATAGTCATAGACTATTAGAGCTAGAAGGAACTTTGAAATTGAACCATCCAGACATCTTATTGTACAGATGAGAGAAACTGAGACACAGAAAGTTTACATAAAAGACCGCATAGTATAGTAAAAATAGTACAGCACTTTCTAGTCTTATATTGTTCCCTTTTATAAGTTTCTGTTCTAGTCTAGGTAGATGTTCCCCACATACGGCATTCCAAATTCCATTTCATGCTTCTCATCTTAATGCTTTTGCAGATGTGGTCCCTCATTTTTTGAATGAATACCCTTCTCATCTCTAGCCTCCCTGAAAACTCAGCTCAGTACTCCTTTACCCTAAATCTTTTTGGATCTTCCCAGTTTTTCACACTCTTTCCATCTGGAAGTTACTTTGAATATACCTTCTTTTCATTTTCTTGTGTAGAAGAAGCTTATATTCCATATATATGCATATATGTAAATATACACATATAGATATAAATTCCAGTATAATCTGAACTTCTTATAAATGAACAAATGCAAAGTGTGTGTATATATAGATTTTATATAGTTATAATTATATATAAAGTTACATGTATAGTTATATGTAAATATAACTATATGTGTATGTATGTATATATACATATATAATGCATGTATATATATAAAATATTCCATTGGAATATAAACTCCTTGAGGGAGGGACTGTTTCTTTTCTTTCCTTTTTCTTTAACTTTTCTTTTCATCCTCAGCCTGGTGCTTAACAGCTTTGTTGAATTGATTGGGAATCAATCAATTTTACTCTTTTTTTTTTGGTGAGGCATTGGAATGAAGTGACTTGCCCAGGGTCACACAGCTAGTGTCAAGTGTCTGAGGCCAGATTTGAACTCAGTTCTTCCTGAATCCAGGGTCAGTGCTCTATCCACTGCACCACCTAGCTGCCCCCTTCATTTTCTTTTATGCATTCATTTGTTCAGTGTTCTGAACACAGAACTTGTAAATGAGATACAAATATATGCCTCTGTTGTGGCTCCCACCTCTACTGGGAGAAAGCTCCCTTAGGTCATTTACTATATCTTCTGGTTCTTGAATTTGACCTTTCCTCTCCTGGGGGGAAAAAACAACTAAAACTAAAACAAAACAAAATTCCTTGGAAATAGGATGGGAAGGTATCTTCAGAGTAAGAATAAGCCAGAGAAATCCCAGGGCTCCGTGTTACCAAGTAGGTGTTTAGGCCAATTCAATTTTATTCAACACTTCATTTTTCCTGGAAAGCTACAAAAAAACTGCAGGTTCGCCTGCATCTGATCTTTATTCTCTGTGTAACGCTGAGCAATTCACTCACCCTTGTTGGTCCTCAGTTTCCCCATCTGTAAAATGAAGGGATTGGACTAGATGGCTGTAAGGTCCTTATGACCCTACAGTCCATAGGCCACCAGGCAAATGGCTTCCTGGGAAACATCTCATCTTGTTTCTTCTTTTGTGCAAGAAACATAAACTTCAGCCTTCAGTCTTCCTTCACTCTAGTGTTGTATGATCTTTTTTTTTTCAAGGTATGAACATAGATACCTAAAAGACCTGGTCAGAGCCAGGCCAAGCCATCATCCCAGGCAAGGTTTGAACATGGTACCTCCTAGATTTGAAAGTTTTCATCCACTTTGTGTTTATCTATGCAATTCCTTAACCCTCTGTATCAGTGACTTTTGTCCTTTTTCTTGTATAACCTACATTTGAAACAACATGGATTTCCTCCTCTCCAATCTCCTGGATCTTTCAGGTTCCAGACAAGGATAGGATTCACAGGGCCAAGAGCTGAATTGCCCATGCCTTTTAACATAAAGGCAGTTGCTTAAAATTGTTCAATGTTGGGATACACTCATCCAATTAAAATGTTAAGTCAACTCAAGTCAGGGGTCAAATTTCCACCCTTTACTACATCTCTTCATAATACCCACTATTAGGATGCATATACTTCTGGGTATTCAGTGCACAGTATTTGGCGATGGTTACTTAATATAAAAAAATGTCAGGGTATGATCTGGAGGACAAACTGTTCTGTTCCTTTATTTCTTGAAACAATAATAAAATTGCTTAAAATTTTAAAAAATGTAACCAATCTTTTTCTTAGCAATTCAAAATGCCATGAAACTGTTTCAAATTACCTCTGGGTGATTCTCTGGGTCTCAGTTTTCTTCATCTGTAGCACGAAAGGAGTTGGGTTAGATGACTTCTAAGGTCTTTTTCAGCTCGATGCATGATCCCATCATGCCCATTTTACAGATAAGGAAATCAAGGCCCTGTTCACCAAATCCCACGAGGTAAAAAGTTTTTCCTGTTTCTGTTCCTGAACATGCACTACTTTTCTTTTTTACATAAATAGTATTTTATTTTTTTCCAATTACATGTAGTTTTTCAACATTCATTTTTTATAAGATTTTGAGTTTGGGATTGTTCTCCCTCCCTCCCCTCCCTCCCCCCATGGCAAGAAATCTGATGATATAGGTTATACATAATGCATTACTTTTCAAACATGAAACTAAAACGTCTTAACTTAAAGAAAGTAACATGATATATCATATGGCATTATAGGTGCTCCATAGTGAATGATGAAACAAGTGTGGAAATGCACCTCTGGGCCACTAGAGGGAATCATAGGCTCAATTATCCACAGCAGCAATCACCAAAAAAAAAAAAAAAAAAAAAAAAAAAAAAAAAAAAAAAAAAGGGAAAAAGCCATTGGTGTTTACTATATGTTTAGGAAATTCAGGATATTCATCAAACATGTATTTTTTCCAGCCAATCCTCCTCTTCCCAAAGCCTCAGCACCACCTCTCCCCCACCCCCCATCCCCAGATTTCTGTGTCCTAGAGGCACTGTGGTCCACAAGCCCAGCCTAACCCAACTAAACAGAGAAGCCTCAGGGGCCCAGACAAGTTTACATCCTTGGCAGTGCTCCTTCTGGGGTGGGGTCAGCCCCAGCCCCCTCAGACCAGGCAGATAGGGGACAGTCCAGGACCTTCTAGAGAAGAACCATGCACTGGGTCACTTCAAAGAAGGAAGAAACAGTTTCTCCCCCCCCCCCAGCCACTCCCCTTATCGTAGGTTCTTTGTCTGAAGGATTCATTTTCATTAAGAAGGCGCTTTGGAGATTATCTAGTTCAGCCCCTTCACTTTACAGATGTGGAAACTGAGAAGGTGATAGAGCCAGAATTTGAATCCAGATCCACTGTGTCAAGAATCAGTATCATTTCCACTGTTAAGTAAACTGACTCAGAGGAATAAAGTAACTTCCTCTAACTCACACAGCTAGTTAGTGAGAGAGACCAGCAGATTAGGGCAATAGAAAAAGTCAGGACTCTGCTCTGTCCTTTGTCCCTGGGGAAGTAGGAGGATGAAACATTGCCTCCCTCAGCTAGATGCTAGGAGGCAGCTAGGTGGTGCAGTAGATAGAGCACTGGCTCTGGAGTCAGGAGGACCTGAGTTCAAATGTGACCTCAGACATGTCCTAGCTGTGTGACTCTGGGCAAGTCACTTAACCCTGTTTACCTTAATCTACTGGAGAAGGAAATGGCAAAGCACTCCAGTATCTTTGCCAAGAAACCCCACAGACAGTATAGTCTATGGGGTCACAAAAAGTCAGACAAGACTGAACAACTATCTCAACCCATGGAAAAGAGATAAGCTGCTGCTTCCCCATAGTCTGACTTTTGTGTTCTCCTTCTAGGCATGTCTTTCTCCGATGGCTTCCAATCTCAACCATGGTAGGCT